TTGTGCAGCTACTCAAGAATTTCCCAGCATTTTATGGAACCCGAAGGTTCATTACCGTGTTCACAAGAGCCCTCCACTCGTTCCTATACTGAGCCAGATTAATCCAAGCCATACCATCCAAATATATTCTCTCTCTAAGGGGCGACTAAGATTTTGTATGCATTCTCAGCCCTGCCGTTAGTGAGAGATGCCTCACTTAAACCACATTTTTTATTTAATAATTGTAATAATATTTGTCGGGGGCACGAGGCAGCGTAGTTGGTTGAGGCACTATGCTACAAGCCGGAAGGTCGCGGGTGTAAGTCCCAATGAGGTCACTGGATTTTTTCAATCGACCTAATCCTTCGAGTCGCACTATGGCACTGGGGTCGACTCAGCCTCTAACAGAAATGAGTACCACGAATTAATTAAGTTTCCTGGGGAATAAAGTGCGGCCGGCGCGTAAGGCTGACAACCTTACCGCCATCTTCGAGCCGACTGTCTAGAAAATGTGGGACCCTCGACGTCTCACAACCCTATGGGCCTTCACGGCCTGTTACATGGATAGCTTTACTTCTACTAATAATATCTGTCGAATCGAAATATGAAACTCTCCTTTATATAGAGTTTTTTGTAGTTTATTGTTACTTAATGCCTTTAAGGTTCAAATACACCAAGTCTGTATTCTTCTCTCATTGTGCGAGAACATTCTTCTCGTCCACACAACCAAATACTAGTTCCTGAGACAGAAAAGAAATTATATTATTACTTGTAATCTTCTGGGAAAAGCATTGAGTTAAACTCAAACTGAAGTCCCACAGAATTACTGGGGTTTTGGACTTTTTCCAGCGTCCGGAATTTTAGGTATTAGAGGACACAACGTTTCGGAAACTGGTTCTGTTTCCATCTTCAGGTAAGAAAGGAAGACACCTACTCAGTTGGGCCCCTTAGAAAGAGCTAATCTCAATCACTGGACAAATCCTGTCAGATTTACCCAGCTATTTCAACATACAGACTAGGCTAATTCAGTGTCATCCAGCATCGTCAGAACCCTTTAGAATCTACTAAAACTGAAGTGACAGGAGGGGAAAAAGATAATGCTGTAAACACTCAGTCCAATTCTGATAACGTAATACAGTAGGCGTTCTAGGTATGAAGTGGAGGGCTGGAGTACTAAGCAAGTAGGCAGAATATACCGGCATATCTTGCTGTTGCTACAGTCTTAAGTAGCAAGTAAACATGATAATGAAAACTGGATGTAACTGACGCGGCACTGTGTGTGTCTGCGGATTTTCTTCGCTTCAGTAAAATTACTTCACAATCTGTAATGCAATGGCATTACATTCGAATGATATATCACATAGATCAGATAATGAAAATACATACAAGATATAAGATGTACGGATACTGAGGTTCAATTCCTGGCAACAGCAGGCATCTATCTCTCCTTCACTACTTCGAGCCCAGCTCAGACGTGAAGCTGACCACTCCCTTCTAGTACCGAGATTAAGACTGCATAAAGCTATATCTCCATTCCTCAATACCTCTTCATACTGTGGTGCTTGGGCACAGCAGCGACTTTATTTCATGGTGCATAGCTTTGATCAGGGTAACTGGTTTACTTAAGGAGACTCTGCAGTACATTTCACTCACTTTAACACTCTAAAG